ACAGCTGATGACATGTACTTTGATGGATTATTTTTTATGCTATAAGCCGGTAAACTAGCAGACAGATCACCTGATGTTAAGCAACCGGCGTCGCCCATGGACACCTGGAACACCAGAGGCGTTACAAGTGCGTTATAGGCCTTTTGGGATTAGGAATTTGAGGATTGTTGGGGATTCAGGGAACCTCTCTCACACGACGAATTATAAAGCAAGCGTTGTTTCACGACGGTTTCCTGTAAGGTCATGGTATCACTCCGGTGGAGCCGGCCCAGCAGTGCCGAAGTATGGCCCTCCCACACTTGAACACACACCCACACTTGTGTTGCCATAGTTTTAATGTTGTTAGTTCCTCAAACATTCGTCGTCATTCTTAAATAGACAAATTATACATACAACATGTGTGATCTGTGATCTCTATCAGGGCAGTGGCGCTTGCAACCATGTAATATTACACATCGGTTTTGGTAACCTTAATACCAAATAACTATTTACTGTTTTAATAGTACTTGGTAAACCCGCAAAAAACTAACGGCTGCAAAGTGTCAGCAAATAGTGGTGACAAGTGGCAGAGTACTCCTCTACTCCTCGAGACGACCCCTTTTATGTTATTGGATGGCAAACAGCCCTCCCACGCCGTGTTAAGTAGTTCCTCATGTGGAGATATAGCTACTGCAGTATTAAACATCTACATATATATGTGGCAAACTTTGGCCTATGTCGCATGTCACCATTTCAAATACCTACTGACAAAATCACTACATAGTGTAAAACAAAGTCGCTATCCGCTTTCTGTCTGTCCCTATGTATGCTTAGATCTTTAAAACTACGCAGAGAATTTTGATGCGGTTTTATTTAATAGATAGAGTTATTCTTAAGGAAGGTTTACATGTATAACACATGCATATTACACCCATGCAAAGCCGGTGCGGGTCGCTAGTGTTTTATATAAATTGAAACTCTAAGGTAAAAGTGAAAATCATTTATTTCCAATAGACCAGGAAGGCATTTGAATGTAAAAAAATATATTAAAAGTACTCTTAAACTGTCAAACACCAAGCGGTCACCGGTGACCGCGACCTATTGTTCTTTAATTGTGTCTATAAAACCGGTACTCGACGAGTTAAGGCTATGTGGTAAAATAAGTTCTCGATTGTTTTCGAAGACGCTCGATCGATTTTGAGTTATGCTCAAAAGTGAGCGAGTATTGTTTGACAGTGATCGAGGTCATCATCATCATCAACAGCCTATAAATGCCCACTGCTGAGCAAAGCCTCTTCTCACACGGAGAAGGTTAGAGCATTAATCACCACGCTTGCTCAATGCGGGTTGGCGATTTCAAACTTATAATTAGAAATTATAAGTCCAGGTTTCCTCACGATGTTTTTCCTTCACCGTTTGTCAGTGGTGTCTAAATAATCTTAGAAAGTACATATAACTCGGAAAAAGTCACATTGGTACTTGCCGTTGGTAGGTTTCGAACCCGCACCCTCATGCATGAGAAGTGGGCGTCTTAAACCTCCGGGCCACCACGACTTCGATCGAGGTCGCTATATGGTTTTTGAGTAATGCTCGAAAGTGATCGACGACGTTTATAAGTCATCGAGGGTGCTCGTAATTTATTGAATAAAATAATATTAGTTCTTGAAAATGCACAGTTGGTATATCAGTTGCGTGCATTGAGGCCAAAACTATGAAAATTTACAGGTTTTTTAGCGAAAAGACAGCTCTATAAAATATTGTGCAGTTTTCAACGTAAATTGAACACGAGGCCCTAATATTGTAATTATATAAAACATAACATCACGCCTTTTATCCCCGAAAGGGTAGGCAGAGGTGCTCATTATACCACTGCACAATGTAACACCCACTTCTCACTATTTATGTTATGAGTCCCATGTAATAGGGGGCCAGCCTATTGCTATATACCGGGCACAATTCCAGACTCCGTGCTACTACTGAGAATATTTAAAATAGTAATTACTCGTAGCTGAAATATAATGTTGTATGTACAGCTCTATCTATTAGACACTAGTATACAGTGCAGGCGGCGCCGGGTGATGCAGTAATGGTCTCCGGAGTGCCATTCGAGCAGCTTGCAGCTAAATTACAAACGAGGCCGTACGGGTGTCAGAATGTAGCCTGCCATGCTGATATTTGTACCAATTTCTATTTTCAAACACAATCGTGTGGAATATTACCCAGACCTTTAATTACCTGAAAATAGACAGTGAGAGGTGCTTACCATTATCGTTGTAAAACGATTAACAGAAAAAATAGGAAAAGTCGGTTCATTCTCTCTAAAAATCTTTTCAAAAATCCTTTGCTTATGCAAAGTCAGAGTCAAAGTCAGTCAGTATGTCAGTGAAGCTAGGTGCTCATTCCAAAATGTAGATTCGGACGGAGAAGAACGAACAAGAAACTCCATTCTTTACTCTTTTAAAAAACGTATGTTCTACAATGTCGCAGATTTTTTTTGCCTTGCTTTTTTGCATACGTACAATGTACATACGTATATATAATTATATAAGAACAATGCAAAGACACGTTTGAGGCATTATATAAACTGCAAAACTTACTAAAAAAAAACTTAACAAACATAATAAAAATCTTACAGTCTAACATGGTGCTCACATATGCTTACTCATCAACAGCCTATAAATGCCCACTGCTGAGCAAAGCCTCTTCCCACACGGAGAAGGTTTGAGCATTAATCACCACGCTTGCTCAATGCGGGTTGGTGATTACAAACTTATAATTAGAAATTATAAGCCTAGGTTTCCTCACGATGTTTTCCTTCACCGTTTGTCACTGGTGTCTGAATAATCTTAGAAAGTACATATAACTCGGAAAAAGTCAAATTGGTACTTGCCGTTGGTAGGTTTCGAACTCGCAGTCTAATGCATGAGAAGCGAGCGTCTTAAACCTCCGGGCCACCACGACATTATGCTTACTGACAATCTATAAAAATAGTGGTTCTATACAAGAAAAAGGAAACTCTTTATTTTAATAAAGATAGAAATGCTCGATACAACTTACACACGTCTTTTTTTCACGCCACAACGAAGTTTTTTTTAGTACTTATAGGTACTATTTCGGTCTAGAGAGAAGAATTAGGAGGCGCGAAATAATCTCCAGCCTCCTAATTTTTTCCTGTAGCTACACGAACTAAGTCGTAGGTAACAGCTAGTATAGTATACATATCATACTTAACAGTTAGGATCGTTGTAAATTTGCATCGCGTTGCTGATACGTCATGCAAGTGTGACCCTTGGGAAATCACGGGGCGACGCGCGGCGAGCCTCTGGGCAACTGGCACCGGCAACATGAGCCCCGTCACTGGGTGAATATGAATCATTAATGTGTATTAACGTTGTTAAACAGAATTCTGAATCAGCTCCTATTTGCACGGCCATGTTTGTAGACTGGACCGGTTTATTCCAGTTTAAACCGGTAAATACTGGTTTTTGTGTGCTTTGTTTAAGGTAAGGGTTTGTTTGGAGATGTTACTTTAACTGTAATGCTGTTTGTCTTTGTCTACGTGTAAATAAATTAAATGTGTTCTGTGTAAACTGTGTTACTGTCGCTGCTGCTAAATACAAATGGGGTTCATTCCTTTTTTGCTCAGGTACCTAACAGTTATGTATATTTTAAATATTAGACGGAATTTAAATGTGAAGGTATTTTAGCCATCATCATCGACAGCCTGTGACACTGTGACAGTCTTTCGCTTGGACTACTACTTTTCAATACAAAAAGGGACGCCCTAATCCATCCCCTTGACAGGCGGGTTAGAGCTGCTGTCGCTGTTTAAAATTAAGTTTATTAGACTTCTGCTATTACTTCATATTACTACACTGCTAAGAAGTAAAAGAAAACACTTAAGTAGGTAGTGAGTTTTTTTAACTCCTTAATTTTGTCTTTTTTTTAATGGCATAAGCCGGTAAACGAGCAGACGGATCACTTGATAGTAAGCAATCGGCGTCGCCCATGGACACCTGGAACACCAGAGGCTTTACAAGTGCGTTACCGGCCTTTTGGGGATTAGGAGTTTGAGGATCGTTGGAGATTCAGGAATTGGGGAGATTGGGGAAGGGGAGGGTAATTGGGCCTCCGGTAACCTCACTCACACGACGAAACACAACGCAAGCGTTGCTTCACGTCGGTTTTCTATGATTCCGTGGTATCACTCCGGTCGAGCCGGCCCATTCGTGCCGAAGCATGGCTATCCTACACTTAAAAATCACGTCTTTCTCATGTCTCATAACATCTATCGAAAAAAGACCACAAACCATTGCGTATTACGGTACTCATTCGCATGGTAATTACTGAACGCAACACGTTACTTAATCACTGCAAAATATGTGCAATACATTAATTAGTGTAATTTAATTCCTTACAACAGTTTCTTACCAATATCATTACTAAATAGAACTTTAATGACCGTTTTCACCAACCACCCCTAAACTACATCTTAACTGAGAGTTACTTAGCGTGGTGAAAAACTAATATGTTGTTTAATAGGCGTCCCTTAGCTTAGGGGTTCCTTAAAATTTAATAGGGGTTGGTCAAAATGGGCATAGGTCTTTAGGAAACATAGCTACTTATAGTTACGTACTACTTTTTCACCGTAAAATTTAATAGAATTTGAAGTGTGAGAGAGCCATGCTTCGGCACGAATGGGCTCTCCAATCCCTGAATCCCCAACAATCCTCAAATTATTAATCTCCAAAACGCCGGCAACGCACTTGTAACGCTTCTAGTGTTCCAGGTGTCCATGGGCGACCATCTCATAAAAAAGGGGAGTTTCATCAATTTCCATTTTATTTCTTCTTACGTGAATTCCCAGGTCCTATAATTAGAAATACTTACTTGACTAATAACCTTTTGTGGTTAGTAATAATTAAAATCAAATTAACGTCATTACTTCTCCATTATTTAGGTTTTTCCATAATGTTTCTTTTAAAGTATGTCTAGTCTGTGATTAAACATTCATTTGTTGGTTCGACATGGCGAGAACACTACAGGTACGATATTATTTTAATTTTTATGTCTTCAATATTTTATTAGTTTTAAAGTTTTAAAAAGTGATTTATTTATAAGTGAGGGAGTGATATTGTGGGCTGCGTGTGTATTTTCTTTTAATCAGTTGTGTTTTAGTTGAAACCTAGTTTGATAAGGAGTCGTTTTTAAACATGCCATATGGTTAGTGTCAGTAGTTGTACTTACAAAGATTCAGTCTTGAATAGATTAATAAAACTATAAATAAGAATGTGTGCAGCTCATCCACACAGTATCACATGAGATATTATCCTTATTTTTATTGCTAGAAAAATAGATTCATCACCATCCGTAGCTTAAATAGTTTTTCTAAACTGACATAATTATAATTTGGTAAACGATTACAGATACGCTAACCACATTTAGATTAAAAACGTGTTCGTAATACGGTTAAAAAACCAGACTTTCGCTTCAATACAGTTAAATATTTAATTTTAAAAGATACATTACATCCAGCAGTCTCAGGAGACATCATTACACGTGTAAACCAGTTAAATTAAGAACCTTTATTTATTTTCAGATATTCCTACCTCTCATCTATCTCGTGTTAAAGACACAGGGAGACTACCTTGATAATATCCCCGGATTAAGGCGCTTAGCTGAGCCTGAAGTAGATCAAAGAAATGAGGACTTCCACAGTGCCTTCAAGGACTGGTTCCATCATTTCGACTCATTTCCTACCAGTGTCCATGAAAGAAGGCCGTATTTAAGTTTTAACCCATACTATAACAGAGACCCATACTATTCAAGTGGGCTGTGGGATGAAATACCTCAAATCAACAATGTGTTTAACATTCCAAGTGGCCATAACTCTCACTTACATCAAGGACACAAAGAAAATAAACCGGAACAAAAACCAAAACCTGATCATGTCGATGACGTTCTAAATGTGCAAGAACCAACGGAGAAGCCTGCTGAAATACCAAAAATCAACAAGCCGGTAGATCAAGAACCAACAAGTAAAATAGAAGAAGCAATTAAACCTGACATTAAAAATCAATCTGATATTATACCTCCCAAAACCAACAAAATCAATGAAAATGACGACAAAGGTGATAATGACAAATCAGTGGAATTAAAGGAAAAGAAAGATTATTTACTGGTTGGGCAAGGTAATAACGGGAACGACGTATATCTATTACATGAAAACCCAGCACCAGCACCAGTAGTGTCATCTAACAATAACCAACCTGCTAACGTAATCTATGTTCCAAGTAGTCCTGGACCATCTGTTAGCAATCAAGCCTACCAAATCCTAAACGGGCCATCACCCTTGTCGAATCTTCAACTCTCTCCAGATAAATTAGGAGTAAACAATGATGTCCCTATCTCTGTATCTCCTACATCCAACGTAAGTCCGGCTTCCCAATTAAATAATGTTGTCAGTGTTTACTCCAACGGACAGATTATACAAATACCAGGCGTTGTAGTGGTACCGAACAACTCACCAGTAGATGTTGGAAATCAACCACAGGCACCAAATTACGTAGTTGCTAATGTCGCTCCTAATAACAATTTCCAGCCGGCCAACCAAAATTCAGCTCCAAATGTTTACTATGCTGCTGTCCCGAACCAAGGATCTAATAATCAGGTATATTATCTCCAAGTACCCAATCAAGGTGTGAATAATGCTGGAAACGTTATATTGAACAACGGTTTACCTGGGAATGTAGTGGCTTACCAGATTAGTCCAAATGTAGTCACACAACCAGCTGTATCAAATGGTTACGTACAGTCGAACGTACCAAGTAATCAAGGAATTATATCTGTTGCCATTCCAAACCAAGGAGTTGTGCTTGACAATGCAAATAACCAATACCAAGTAGTTGTAGTGCCACAAGGCTCTCCTTCAAACTTGTACTATCAACAAAACCAACCGAATCAAGGACTAAATCCGGTAGTGGTGCTAAACGGGCAAAGTATACCTGTGCAGACAGTTCAAGTACCGGCTGATAATAACGCAAATAGTTACAATCAACCAATACTAGCAAGTGAAAGACAAGAAGTCAGTCCATTGAACCAAGGATCAATGATAAACAATCAAAATGTTGGGATACAGGGCGCAGTTTTAATACCAAATAATGGCGGGTACTATCAGCCTCCGATAATAAATCAGGCACAAGTCCAAAATGAGCCCAGTCAAGCAACTGAAGCACCACCAAATGCAGTTAATTATATCCAGCCAGCAGTGTTATATGACGCGAATCAAAATGCACCGTTACAACCCATAGCTTCAGTGAACGATGCTCAGGTTCCAATCCAAGAAAATCAAGCGTCGAATACTATTCCAGATGTTTCACCCGTAAACACAGCTGATGTAGTCGCGCCACCTGAGGAGAACGCACCACTAGCAATAGCAACAGCTCCACTAATCTTAGATGGAGATAAATTAGAATCTTTGGGTGTGCAACCAGCGGTCATGCTAACAGGCTTTAAAGATAGTGAAGACGGCAAAAAAGATAAAAAAGCTAAAGATGACAAGAAAGATAAGAAAGTAAAGAAGGAAAGAAAGGAAAGGAAAGAAGGGAAGGAGAAGAGAGAAAAAAGTAAAAAGAAAAGTAAGAAAGACAAGGATGAAAAGTCTGGGGAAGTATTCACAAACTAGAATCAACTCGTAGTTTAGTTGAATGCCTTAAAGTTTAAGTGGACCAGGGGAACGCTACTGTAAGAATCTCAAAGCACACATCTTGATGGATGTCTCATTGTATAATTTTGTTGATTTTTAGGATTACAGCCCGAAGGTATGATTTTTTTATGACTGTGTATGTGACATGTGTATTTTGTACCTACTGAATAGTATCTACTTAAATAAATTCATCTCCATGAAATTTAATTTTTATTTTGCCTACGCGTTGACAATTCCATCCCGTCCCTTTGTTAACCGGATCATTGGTTTTCTGTCGTGTCAAAATATCAGACAATACAATCTATAATGTCATTGTGTAATTCCTTTTAAAGTCACTCATATAAAATGATGGTGACAGTGATGTGGGGATTTGGGGATATGGGAATGTAGGAAATATTTTATGGTTTAATTGAAATAAATGCTTTTGAGTTTGAGTTCAGCATAGAAAGGCTTTCAACCAAAAAAGGATTAAATATCTAAAAATTTAAAAAACAAAAGTTCAGTGCTACCAACTGAGCTGTAGTAAACTAAAAATCCCACTGTGAGAAGTTATTTTTTAAGAATTTAGCGTTCCTTTGACCAATCAGTTCGGAACTGCAGACAATTTGTTGTTTGTAACTCGGCTACATGGTTCAGGAGGAGTTTCGTTCCTCCTTCCATTCAGTGATTTCTATTCTACGATAAAAGTCGAAGTGTGGTCGTGACAGGCAATGGATTAAATGGCATAGATTTGGTGGACAGTTTGTGGTTTCTGACTATCTTTGTATTGATATAGAGTAGATTTTGGATGTGCTCGGCTTGGGTAAAGAAGATAATTATTATCATTCTTTTATTAAAAAATAACGTTCCACACTAGGATTTTTTCTATGTCGTGGGTGCGTTTACAAACATACAAGTTCGCATACACATGACACCCACACCCGGAACAACAATTTGTGGATCGAACCCGCGACACGTTGCACGGCAGCCGGTTGCCCAGCCACCGCATCAACCGCGCAAACATGCTTTTTACCGACTTCAAAAAAAGGAGGAGGTTCTTTTCGGGTTGATTGTTTTTTTCGATGTATTTTCACCAGTTCCATTCCTGCCCAGTGCACCTGTGCCGGGGTTACAGCAGGGAAAAAAATAAGTTGTAGCAGTGTATGTCCTGTAACGTAATCATATTAGGACAACAACACTAAACTAATTACTCCGGTCTGGCACACACGGCCACATCAAGTTGAACAAAACCAGTATAAACTGACCGTTCAATATGCGGAAAGATCATACAAAGCGAGGTCATGTGTCGTAGTACGAGATTGCTCTCCACGTGTTGGACTTCTCTGTCTGTCCCTCAGTGTACAGATTGTACAGTTAATGTAATTATATCATTAAGTGCAGAATACTATGTTGAATCAGTTCCGTACAGCTGTAGCGAGGAAGGAGTAAATACCAAGGGTAGGTTTCACAACGCTATTGATATTAACTTCTTCTTTAATACTTTATAGGGCAGCGTTTGGTCTCTATCTCGCCTGATGGTAAGCGATGATGTGGCCGACGACGGATCAAGCCTATCTATAAGCAACCTATTAACTCGGGTATAAGGACGCTGGACGGGTGTCAGATTGATTGAAACATCACAAAGTATAATGCAGAACTGACTTTATTTCTGGTAATACCCGAGTTATATATTGGTTACATACATGGTTACAAGTACTAACATACTACGCCACACGGGACTTAAAGATACCCGGGTTCTTAGGTATTCCACTTCTTAGCGGTTCGCCTAAGGAAACTGATGGATATTTCGATTTTTTTTTATATTACACACAATTCCTTTAGGACTTAGGTTTTAAGTTGTTGTTGACATTATCATTTGGTTTTTAGAGGCCCTACTGATAGTCTAATCTGCCTTTAGGCTGGCTAGTGAGGCAGGTTCACATAAAGTAAAGAAGAAGGTTCTTATCTTCACCTGTATTTATGTAGGGCGTGATTATCTCGCAATTGATTGAACCGATTTCGATACGGTTTTCAGAAAAGTGTTAGTTACACTTTGGAAAATGTTTCAGTATATTAATTAACCGACTTCAAAATTAAAAAAAGGGGTATGAAGTCGGTTTTTTCAAACGCAGTTTATAATAATTATGTACTGTGATAAAGTTCTGTATTTCATCTTTGTTTCTTAATTTTATAAGGTTGATTCCCTTCAGATCAAATTGCATTTTACTTATATGTATATTTATATTTCAAAGCTGAAAAGTGATTAAATAAAACAAAGTCATCAATATTTCGAAAGTGTTTTATTAAATCGTTAAATATTGAATTTAATAAAAACAATTAAACAATAATAATATATAACATTCTGTTAATAAAACAATAATCATTATAATAATTCTGTTTGTGTATTGTGTTGTGCGACTTGGGTATTATTAATAACTATTATTTTAAAGAGAATAGGTACGTATTAATGTTGAACGGTGTCAGTAAAATTTAGACTTTTCTTATTTAATTATTTAAGTGAGGTTTCAAGAATTTAATTATATATATAGTTCTTTTACACATTCGTAGTATGCGTGCCGACGCGAGTTTCATAAGAAAATAATCTCCGGTATCTCATAATATTTGCATTATATTAGCTTTCTGTATATTTATCTTCTAAACCAGTAACTATGCTAATACTGACATCGTTCAACATCAAATTCTGTGTGTTATTACATTTTATAAACAATGTACAATCTTATTATTTCTGCTTGTAATCATTCTGAAAGGTTTTCCTAAAATATTTCACATAAAAAACATAAACAACACAAACAATAAACAAAATAATCTTAACATTAAAACATTTGCAATATTATTTTAAGTATTTATTTAATAAAAATTTCGTCGTTTCTTATTATTTAGATAATAATATTCATTCATTATTTAATAATATAATATTTATTTTCAAATCTGTGAGATAATAAACGTTTTAAAGTTTAATTTTATTACTATATTTTATTTAGAATTAATATAAGCATACCTTCGTTCTAGACTATCACAACATTCAAAGGCATAAGTTTGGACCTTGGCTTGCAAAGGATAAAAGGGTGTTCTCCGACCTCTGGCTGACCTTGGACCGGCCACTTTGCATACTCAACCACTTACGGATAGGAATTAGGAACTCAGTCAGAAACAGTATCGGATCACTTTAATATCGAGGCCCGCTATGTTGACTATGTCTTTGATCTTAAAAGAGGCGGGCACTCTCTTATATTGATGGCATCCAAGTGATTTTCAAATTAAATGCTATTGAAAATGTTTAAATTTAATTTTGAAAAGTCGATTAGTCCAGAGGCAGATTAAACTTAGTGAACTCATAAGCGCCCCTATTTTTCTTTCGTTGCTACCACTCTATGGGTAGTTGGGTACACACGTCTGCGGCACTCCTCTGTAACCTGACGTCCGAGGCACTTGTCTTGTTTGCCTTAGGCATAATACGCCTCTGGATTAGTCGTTGACACAGCACTTGGAATCGAATGATAGACACTTAGTTCTTAACCTCGTTGTGGTCAATTTTTTAAATTACATATTGTATTAAAGACTAGTAAAGTATCGGTAGTATAATAATAATGTTTCCGCGATCAATATCCTTAAGTAAGTCGAGTGTACAAATTGGTCAGTTTCTTCAAGGTGTATTTTTTGAAATTTTTTGTTCTTTCTTTATGATTCTTCAAACGATTAAACATGATTTTCCATACGTCAAATTACAAATTAATTTCTTTGAAGAAAATTGATTAGCGTCTGAGAATTACTTATAATGAATTTCAGGTTCACATTATTATGGTTGGCTGTCTATTAATCAAGTTAATTCAATGAACCAATTAACGGTAAGTTACTGTGAAAACAGGATTATTTTAGGACAAGAGAAAATAATCACTTATTAGAAAATTCTAAGAGAACTTTTCTATATCGTAGTGTCAATAGCCAGACATTGGTTTAATGTATAAAACGAAGACAAACATATAAAAATAAATACAATCATGATTTGTATTTCAAAAAATAAATTGTCATAATATTTGATTTTATAATTACTATGATAATTATTTCAAGGACTTGATCATAGCTGTAGCTATATAAAATACTAGGTAGTTTGTTCAATGTAAGTAGATAATATAAATCTATAGATAGAGTATAATGTGATCTAACTGTCAGAGAACATCGCAGCGAAACAGTGGACAATAAAATCTCTTCACCTAATATCTAAGCTTGGACTTGTTAATTCAAATATTTAATAAAAACTTTTTTTTCACTTATTTTACACAAAAGTTGTAAGTACTTCGGTAATCGGGACCCTGTACACTAACATGCACCTTATCTATGATTTTGTTTATAAGCTGTGCATTGATAAATGGGTTAAACAAAAAAAATATTATAGGTACCGAAATTTGTGATCGTTATTTTGTGAATTAAACAAACCGAAACAAACAGCTTCACATAAAATAGTAACTGCCCAACAAAATATCGAGCTTTCTTGGAAATTATTGCCACAATCGAACACCTGAATTTGCCAATAACTTCCGCCATTTTGCTCGAATTTCGCGCCATAATTTCCGCTTGACATAAATGTCAGAGCTGTCAACACAATGCACAGAGTATAAACGCGTTCACGACTCAATAGATGGTCAATATAATTGAAATTAATTTGACAGTGAAAATTGGTCAATCTCTTATCGTAGCTGCTCGCTAAATACACGCTCGAACCTGTAGTCAGGGCGCAAGAGGTCTAGGGGTCTGGACAGATTAAAATCTCACCTTTAAAAATGTAAGTAATACTTCAACGTAACTAATAAAAAGTCCACTGGGGACAGAATCGTTCCAGGTAAATGCTTAGTTTGTTTTTTGATTATTCTGCTTTATTTGATCACAAAATGGTTTGACAACGGGGCCACGTGAAAGCCTAACCGCATTTAGTCAGGTACGTACTCATTTGATCTGTAATTCCGAGCCGTATCCGCATCCGGCTTCCGAAAGCGTAATATCAGTGATTTATAGGGTGCTCACCGCAAACCAGTGACTAGAGAGCAAAGCCACATTCCGGTATATACAGGATGTTCACAAAATAAATATCAATCTAAAGGTGAAAATTGGTTTTGAAAGTACAAAATAAATAAATTGCAAAAGGCACGTACCGCCCCAAGTATTTGCAAAGCAAATGACATAAAGGTGACATAACCACTCTTTCTTTTGATAAATGCTGTCCAGTGACCCCTAGCCCTAACAATATTTTATTCGTTAATTAAAAATGTATAATTTTATAAAAATACAAAATAGTTGAGCGACACGGTGACTGTGTGGTCGGGTAGCTACACTAGCTGGTCTAATTAAGTTTTGTAATTATTATTGTGGTGTTACATTAATTAATGTGTTCCGTTGATTTATGTGTTTTGGTAGTTTCACTTTACGAAATCAGTTTCTCAGTATTTGGATGTTCCTAAGTTTTTCGATTTGAAAATGTTGGGTATCTTCTGGGAAAAATGCTTCGCTGGATTAAATCGCTCCCGTTCCCCCGTGGTCGTGGCGTTACGGTAGCAATTATATCACATGAAAGTATGTGTACGGAGGACGTCGGAATCTCCCACAAAGTCACGTACAACGTATAGTCCGCAATCACTCCCGATACTAAAATATTCACAGCCGTAGATTTTGTTGTTCAAAATGTTTCCCACATTTTTATTTACCCACAAACAGAATTGTGTTAGCGTTTGACAGACCAAGCGAAATATCAACATGAATGAGTCCATTGTATTTTGTATTTTTATAAAACTGTTATTTAACCTTAGAAGCTTATAATATGTACAATGATATCAAACAAGCATTGAGCAATTTTTATGAATTAATATTAAAAATATGCTAAAATATTTACAATATAAACGGGCTTTTGTAAAATGTTGCTCGCAACGAGGCCGCCCCGCGAGCCGCGCTCTATATCACCTGCCAACATTTAATCTTGTTGGAACAGATATTTTTTCACATATTTGCTTGAATTCGCCTACATCACATCACCACGAGTGAAGAATTACTTTTTGATTGATCCTTGTTATTATTTTTCAAAGAAGACAATGATGTATCGCCCCTCCCCGCGGCGGCCTCGCTAAGTACGTACAGTACACCTAATTATGTTATTAAAATATTAAAGTGCTTTTTAAGTCAAAGAGGACAAATGTTATTTTAAAATATTTACAATATTAAGTGAATAGGACTAGCAGATGAATGAATTAGTAATTTTAAGTGAAAATTTTAAGTTATCATTAATAAGCTTTCATCAAAATCAGCGTCCATTATATTTGGAGCTCTCGTTACACTTCACTTTAGTTCTGATTAGAACATTAATCACATAGCAGCCTAAATACCCCAGATTTTGACGACAAGATTACATTTAAAATTAGTAAAAAAATATCAATTCAATGCATTTTTTAATTACGAATTAAATAATGCAGCCAGCACATTTTGTGTTGTGGCAACATTGTATCACCGGTATCCAATTGGCTACTCGAATTCGATCATGATTCGAACGCGCACGAACCATTGGTCGGCGGCGGCGTGCGCACGCGCCGCACGAGTGGAGTATCACCGTGCGCTCGACTCCTCCTTCTCTTTCCCCTGCGGACTCTTCTCCTTGGCGGTCACGTCTAGACTCTGGTCGCGAGACTCTTGGACTGATTCTAGCCCAATGTCAAAGGAGGATTGCCTGCTGAAATATTAAAACGTTAGAAAAGGAAATATTACATGCGGAATTCTGAGATTCTTAGGCTTGAACAAACCTTTCTGTCAGGTAGTTCCCGGGAGCAGACAGCGACCTGCCAGCTCTCGCCAGTCCCCCTCTCTTAGCGGCTGCGGTGGATTTCTCAGAGCTTTCTCCTCGAGAGCTGGTGGATTCCCTACGAGACGTACTGCCTTCCCTACTTCGGAGGAACGGGTTCTGGCGACAAAGCATGCGAGTTTAAACTTTGAACTAGAGTTCTGTATGTATCATCTACCTATTTGATCTTTAGATATAATTATTTATACTATTGTTTATAGTATCTACTTACTTGGAAGCTATGTTTCTTTAGCATAGTTTTGATGAGTATGAGAGTGGACAGGTTGGGAATGGAGGTGACGACTTGTGCCATGTCCTCCTCTGTCACTTCCACCAGCCTGCAGTTCTCCTGCTCCGAAGGTAGGGGATCTTTGCCTCCGTCTGTTATCCACTCGTGGTCCTAAAAGTACAGAAAACATTAGGTGCAGGTAAGGGTAGTCTATTATTCTACTGAAAAAATAATTGAACAAAACTTACAAAAGTAATATGATCGAAATGGGTTTAAATGATAGACCATCGAGCCGTCGATTTATCAAAGTTAAATTAATTAACTACAAATCCGGTCTCAATATACACGTAAAACCGTATTTCTCACTCTACAGAAACATTTCTTTAAAATTGTATAAGACAGAACAAAGTAAATAATAAGTAAGTAATATTCGTTTCAAGCAATTAGATAATGTAGTTAATCCAATCAGTGAACAAGTGAGCGTTGAATCGTTCAATGGCTGTTGTATTATGGAACAGTTTGGTCAAATTATTCGAGTAATTGCGTTCACTCGAGACAATTTCATTACCGTCGCTCGGATTCGCTTGGTTACAGCCCGACCTGACCTTTTTGGAGATAATTCTCATCTTGGATAATGACATCATAACATTAATTGATTGGCAGAGACAATGTCTAATGGACTTAGGATAAAAGCTCGGAAAAATGTTGCTTTTTTTGGCCCACGATCGACATTTAGGAATTTAGAAATCGGAAAATTAGATTGGCTTGTTTCTTTACATTAGGACTTTATTTGTGGTCTTATGTTTATAAGCAAACATTACACACACTAACAACTTTTATACATACATATGCAAATAATTATTCCATATAAGAGCACCTGTTATGAGCGCTACATTAATATAAACCAGTACAAGCTACCCACCTTAACCTCCTGTAGCGTAGCTCTCGTCGCCGGCTCCTTATCCAACATTCTACTGAGCAGATGTCGCAGTTGCTTCGAAGGCTGGAACTTCGGAGGGTACGTCAGAGGCTCGGCTAACACCTTCCGCTGCAGCTCCACAGCTGAGCTGCCGACCCAGGGCACTTTGCCTGTCACCATTGCGTAGAGTGTGACTCCTAGTGACCAGATGTCTGCTGCCTAGGGGAAGTGTAAAAGGAGGTTGAATGAGATGGGCTCTGCTAGTCAGGAGCTTTGCTTGAGTAAAATAGGTCTTTAATCCGTACTTATACTTCTAACCCATGGTAAAAGTGTAAAGGAAGGATGGTCAAGCATCAAGCTTATGGTTTTTCTGTTTTTTTGAATGAATGCTCAACTGTCAAGCTCGATTGTCGAGTCAGAGGTCTTTGTTTCAATCTCCAGGTTCCGTTTCGTATTGATTTCTTTTGTACATCCTTTTTCACCGAATTTAAAACAATTGTTAATGTTTAATCACGTATTTCAGCTCTTACCTCTCCACTATACTTATCAGCCGGTGCGGCTGCTTCAGGGGCCCGGAACGCCGGGGTCCCGACAGTGCCGGACACGCGGCCCGCGGCGGCCAGCTCCCCGCAGGCGCCCAGGTCTGCCACCTGCACCCGACCTTCGCCCAGCAGTAAGTTGGCTGGCTTTATGTCCCGGTGGGCTATCCTCTGGTAATGTACTGTGGGAGAATGGGTAATTTAGATAGGTTTATTGGAATGCTACAATGGATTATGGTACTAATATCATAAATGCAAAAATTTATGAGTTTGTGTGCTCGTGTATGTTTCTTACTCGCTGAAGAAGGGATACGATATTTGGAACAGAGGTAACTGATTGAACTGATGGTGTAGAATAATACACATTTTAAGTGTGGGAGAGCCATGCTTCGGCACGAATAGGCTGGCTCGACCGGAGTGATACCGCGGCTTCACAGAAAACCACAGAGACGTGAAACAACGCTTGCGTTGTGTTTCGTCGTTTGTGTGAGGTTACCTGAGGCTTGGGCCTCCTTGGTTACCCCCATCCCCAGTCTCCTCAACCCCAGAATCCTCCACAATCCAGATTGCTTACCATCAGGTGATCCGTCTGCTCGGTGACTGGCTTATAGAATAGTAATCTTTATTTCAGGCTCAGAGCTCATAAATGGTTAGTAACATAACAATAACTTATGCCTTAAAAAAATAGGCTAATTTTTATCCTACGAAAATGCAGACGAAGTTGCTGGAAAAAGCTAGTGGTAGAATATAGAGGTAGTGCCCATGAAATGAAGTCATATATATGCCACTTATAGATGACCATATTCTACCTTAAAACACCCGTACACATTGGTAAATGTGCCAGCCTAAGTATTTTATGATAATAATACAGTTCAAAAGCCATATATCAATACGACGATTCCACGTTACATGGCTGGAGGGCGACTTATGTACGAGTGTCCTGTTTTTATTCTTATATATACAAAACAAACATGTTTCGAAGTAAATAGCTGTACCTATGCATGTTATGTAGTCTCTGATCTGGGGACGAAATGTTAATGTGTGTTTATCATAGTAATGTTGGTTTTGGTCGAGCCAATCTTATGTATGTATAAACCAGTTTAATATGGACTCGCTTTGTTTGATATATCCGTACTTTTGAAGGTCAGTATATACTGGCTGCATAGCTTGATGTGTAGCCTATTGACTTGCTAAATATTTGTGTGAGGAAGATTATGTACTATACCTATATATGTGTGGGTATATAGAAGTTGCCAGGATAACGGCTTTATTTTTTTAGTTCAAGTTAAGATAGTTTCTTCTATTTATTTGTTTTTGTTAGATTTTGGTTGGGATTGTTCTTCTATACGATCGGGAAGTCGTCGAGAATAGATGATTTCACAAGGCTGTACAATAACATGTAATTAATAACATTTTGATGTAAAGTCAACATTATTTATTTCAATTAGATCAGAATATCACTTTTAAACGTGAACAAAAAATAAAAAGTGAAGCTAATTGCTCATTCCAATGTGTAGATTCCTGTGAAGAATAAGTTTACTCTTATTCAATCAGGTTCGCAATATAATTGGCTAGTTTCCTTTAAAATAAAATTTGTCAGCTTTTCAATGCAATAAATAATTAAAAAATAATCATACTCTCATCCATTGATTTGACAATTTACCTACTTTTAGATTTATTCCCGCTAATTTTAAGGAAATAAGTATGCTATTTGACGCAGAAATATGATGACGTCATAAGTTGCGATCAATACAAAATTCATAGAAAAGTATCTTTTTTGACATTTCAATAAAGTATTGAATTTGCCTAATTGTCGACTAGCGTATTCTCTAGTTACATAGTTTTGTTGTTTGGATTGTGCGAGAACAATGTAACACTAAAATCCAGTCAAAGTGATCGAAAAAGAAGTAACCATATAGGACGAGTAAATAATAATGTCAAACTATTAGTAAAATATTTACAGAATTAGTTTGTATTAAAATAGTACATTTCAATTCGTATATTTGTGAATATTTCATATATTCGTGGACAGTAATTGAAATAATCGAATAACTTCATTAATTTAATAATTATGTGCACTTATTTCCAACTGTCAATTATGTCGGCATTCCAATTTAATATTTTAATGAATTTCGCACATTTTGCGCGGATTACACTCGCTAGTTTTATATTTTGGCTTTCATATCTTCCGCCCATGGTACTGAAGAATTAACCAGGAAAATTCTTTCTCAATCACTGGTTAACTTTGATGTACCATGTTTAGTGGAAGCTGTGAATGCTTGGAAAATCGCTTGCCCAAATATTGACCCCCCTGTCAAATCACTCTCCCAGAGACAATGGGACGAGCCGCTCTGCAGAAAAGTGAGCGAAAATCTTTTGAACTCCTCTTGTTCAACTGCAGAGAGAGCTCGCCTTTTGGCTGTGGGTGAGTGGGAGTCGGGGTTATGGCTTCTTGCTTTACCTTCGTCTAACCTAGGTACTTTGTTGGACGACACCACGTTCCGCGCTGCAATTTGTTTAAGGCTTGGAGCTTCAATTTGTTCACCTCATCGTTGTCGTTGTGGTGAAGTTGTCAACAGCCTTGGACACCACGGCTTGTCATGTAGCCGTAGTGCGGGCCGTTTTGCTCGACACGCAAGTATTAATGACATAATTCGTCGAGCTCTTGCCTCCGTTGGCGTGCCAGCTACTTTAGAACCTAATGGCTTGGTACGCGACGATGGCAAGAGACCCGACGGTATGTCATTATTCCCTTGGAAGATGGGTAGGGCTTTAGTATGGGACGCCACTTGCGTTGATACTCTGGCGCCATCCCATCTTCCAAGCTCAGCGTGTCGAGCCGGTGCTGCTGAGAACCTCAAACGGCGAAAGTATAATAGCCTGATTGGCAATTATGCTTTCGAACCGTTTGGTGTAGAAACTTTAGGACCGTGGGGCCCAAGTGCACATCTTCTTTACAAAGATATTGTAAAGAGGATGGTTGACACTCCAGGTGACCGAAGGTTAAGTGCGGTTAGGTGCGGTAAGGACCGCAAAGGTTAAGCATTGCCATTCAACGTGGCAATGCTGCTAGTCTTTTGGGCACCCTACCTCACGGTAGCGATGAGGAAAATGTTTTCTTTGATGCCTTATGATTTATTTTTATTTTTTCATTATTATGTAAATATTAAAATGTAATGTAATGTGTAAATATTTAAAACTATTAATTATTTATTTCAATAAGAAGTGTTTTATATTTTGGATATTGTATTTTTTTAATTATTAAACAAAATAGGCACTTTAATTACTTACTGATTAAGGAAAAAACGGAACTCGATTTTGGTTCCACATAGCGCAAGATTTTACATTTGTGAAATAAAAAACAGGATTGGTTTTGGATCAAACGCAAAACGAATACAGCGTTTGATTCCGATTCATCGATCAAGATTTGATTTTCGGTTTGAACAATTTGCACACAATTTTTTTTCTGAGTTTGCATATGTATGTGCTTTTTATTAAAATCTATTGTTAAAACACACTCCATGCTACAGGAGAAACTCCCAATGTCGAGCAACATTATAAAAAGTCAAATCTCATAAAATTATGAACATAATTCATCATTATTATCAAATACTGGAGCAGTGACAGTGTTCATTCCGCACAATCTCGCCGGACTTGTCTGTTATTAAAATATTACGACGTTTTTACGACACGCCGGGAGGGGGCGCTACAATCACACCCCATTTATTACACGGCACGAGACCTGAATACATTGACTAGAGATGTCGATGACTTGGACTTGAACGATAATTGTCTTTTTTTAAGTATGAAGGTATAAATTTGTTAATTAAGGGGTTAGAACTAACTATCTCATGATTGTATGTAGTGTTTACGCTATGAAAAATGGTTACACTATATAATATCAAGGTGGTTACACTATATAGTGCAAGGCAAAGTCTTGTCTTGGTCATGCTGAACTGGTTGGCGTCCATCTCAACGCAAACTTGAATCGTGTTCCAACATAACCATGTACTGTGCTTGTGTTTAATTTTAGAGTGGGAAATAAGGTTTTTTCTTTCTTTCTAACCTTAGAAAGACGTAGAAACTTCTTATTGTTACCAGAAACTGTGCTAAAGAAAATTAATTCCAAGTTTAATAAGTCATGGCAATTGAGAAAGGTCATGCCTTAAAATAGCTGTAGAAACTCCGTGAGAGAGGTAATGAGAGGATCAAGTTAAGAACTTCAAACATTGTACTTAAGTTTACGAGTCCTTAGGGCACAGGTGGGCATCGTGCCCGTGGACGAGAGGGCTTAGGTTAGACTTCTGTTCCGGGTACTATTTTGAGGTGTACGTGGGATGAGCGCACCAGGCACCAGGTGTGTGGTAAGCGACTTGTATTTTAAAACTGCTGTCGAAAACTTTGTTTTAAGGTTTATTTTTAGATTTTTGTGAGTTTTTTTTTGAGTTTAAGAATATTGGCGTAGGCGGGCTAATGAAATCCTTACTAATATTATAAATCGGAAAGCGAGTTTGTTTTTTCCGCTTTCACGCCGTAACTACTAAACCGATTGCTTTGAAATTTTGCAGACGTAAAGATAGAAGTCCGGATTAAATAATAGGGTACTTTTTATCCCAAAAAAATTTTGATTTTCCCGAGGAAAAACAAAAGAATTGGTATTTTTTTTTAAGGGGGGAAAATCATCGAATGACTGCTCCCGCCTGGGTGAGGAGGGAATGTCAGACTCTTACTGACTAAAAACCACCCCGTTCCTTCTCCTGCACGTCGAGCCGGAGCCCCGGTTACCCGTTAGGTTCTCCGCGACAAAAGAATTGGTATAGATGGCGCTGTGTGTATTGGTATATGTCACATAGGCTACTTTTTATCCTTATGTGACGCGAGTGAAGCTACAGGTAAAAGCTAGTAATGTTTTTAAGGGAATTTGGTATCACAGGAGTATTTAGCTCGGACACTATCGGGATTTTTAATACCAAACTTAGTAGTATCGGACTCTGAGTAAAATAGATTCTGACGAACCTTTTTTGTGAATGAGGCGAGTTATGCCTCGAGACTTGAGGATACCTAAAGTCATTACGCCTTGTGGTTGATGGTGATGACAAAATAAATATTTTGCAAAGTTACTCACAGTACTCGACTCCCAGCAAGGCGTCCCTGATGTACCTCCTGGCGAGCTCCTCACTGAGAGGATTCTCGGTGGGGATATCGATGACTGGTCCTCCCTCCAGCAGCTGGAACACCAGGTACAGGTGGTCCTCTGCTGGGTCGTCTAGCACCTGGTAATGAATTCACCATGTTACTGGCTACCTCACTGGTTACCACAAAAAACTACCACTCTACGGTAGCTACAGGGCGGCTATCGAGCAGATTTATCACCTGATGGTAAGCAATCGGCGCCGCCTATAGGCACCCGCAACACTATAGGAGTTGCGGGTGGTTAAGTTGGTGGAGGTTAAACTGCGTTTTTCGACTTGGGGACTTGAAGATTGGAGATTGGGGATTGGGGATGGAAGACGACAATCGGACCTCTGGTAACCTCAATCACATGGTGAAACATAACATAACATAGTCTAGCTGAAAATTTAAATCTAAGTTGCAACCTAGCCAGAAAAATCAGCAGAAAAAAAATGAATACCACGATTCACTATAAAAAAACTATAGACAATTCTGAAAAATACCTCGAATACCATTATTAAGACACCACAAAAAGAAAGGCTAAGTAAAATAAATAGTGTAACAATTATCTAGATAAGAGAAAATAAAGGAAGCGGCCATATTTGTCGAAGTAACCGTAATAGAAACAGCTAACGTGGGCAAAGGTCAGTCGTGTAGCTGTACACATTGAACTATACATAACCAGAGTATCATGATCTTGCTTTGTATGATCTTTCATTACATTCGACGGTCAGTTTATACTGGATATATAAAACCACTTTATCATGGTCTCAACTTGTGTGGTCTTTCCAAACATTCTACGGTCAGTTTATACTGGTTGTATAGCTTGATGTGCAGTGTGTACTACCAATTAGTAGAACCAACATCTTTATTATAGCTGTGTTGTTAGTATTGGGTGGACGATAAACGTGCTGCTCATTTACTGGTATTTATATGCCTTGAAGCCTTGTGGTGATAGAGTAGATTATAAATGTCACCTTCACCTCCTCTAGTTATTTTTTTTTCTTTTTTTTTAAGGTGGGAAAATCAAAACTGCCTCGTTGACCGAGTGATCGCAAGTGTGACTGCCGGGCAAGGGATCTCGGGTTCGATTCCCGGGTCGGGCAAAGTATTAGGGTTTTTAAATATTCTCAGTAGTAGCACGGAGTCTGGAATTGTGACCGGTATATGGCAATAGGCTCACCCCCTATTACATGGGACTCATAACATAAATAGTGAAAAGTGGGTGTTACATTGTACAGTGGCATTAAGTGCCGTAATGTGCACCTCTGCCTACCCCTTCGGGAATAAAAGGCGTGATGTTATGTATGTGAAAATCATCGAATGACTGCTCCCTCCTGGGTGAGGCGGGAGGGAGTGTCAGACTCTTACTGACTAAAAACCACACCGTTCCTTCTCCTGCACGTCGAGCCGGAGCCCCGGTTACCCGTTAGGTTTCCACGACTCCGAATCACCTCCTCTAGTCTTGTAGCGGGTGTTCTTAGAGCTAATATGGAACTGCACTTGGCAGAGACCGGGGAGCTTCTGATAAACAAACTTTTTGAACTGTGATCCCTAATCTCCAACTCTCCAACAAATTTTAGTGCCAACCGCGCCGGGTATGCGGCACCGGATACCTTGTGGAATAATAATTCTTTTATAAACTACGTTTGAAAAACCAACTTCAACCCAGAGGCGGTTAAAGTCGGTTAATTAATATACTTAAACCTTCTCCTAAGTGTAACAAACAATTTCTGAAAACCACATTAAACCAGTTCAGCCATACAGACAGGGCATACAGAGACCCTGCTTCTTTTTTTGAACATAACATAACATAACATCACGCCTTTTATCCCCGAAGGGGTAGGCAGAGGTGTACATTATGCCACTGTACAATGTAACCACCCACTTTTCACTATTTATGTTATGAGTCCCATGTAATAGAGGGTGAGCCTATTGCCATATATACCGGGCACAATTCCAAACTCCGTGCTACTACTGAGTATTTTTTTTAAATCCAGTAATACTTTGCGCGACCCAGGAATCGAACCCGAGACCCCTTGCCCGGCAGTTGCACTTGCAACCACTCGGCCAACGAGGCAGTCTTTTTTTGAAGTCGGTTGAAAATCATAAACGTTTTAAATATGGTATTACCTCCACAAGTTTGACAACATTAGGGTGATCTAATTTCTTGAGCACAGCTATCTCCCGGTAGACCCTCTGCAGCGGGCTGGGGGGCGGGCCAGGTCCTGGTCGCCGAGGGGGCGCCCTGCCGAACAGACCAGCTCGCCGCATCAACTTGCGTTTTGATAGGATCTTCATCGCCTGAGAAAAGAATACACGTTATATTTTTTTTTTAATGTACCATTTAAAATCCAGGAGGTTTTAAAACTCATCAAAGTGCATTTGGTATATGCGTATGGCCATGGTAGGGAGGTATATTCCGTACCTGATAGAATACCTCACCTATATTCATACTTAAGTAGGTTTTACGTACTGGCTGGTACTTATATTTTTGGATTTTGAACTGAAGAACCATATGAAGAAGTAGTTTTTTATTTAACTGGTCACTTTAGTTACGTTTAAGTTAAGGTAAATGCCCCATTATGAAACCCATCTTCCGAATGACTTGACTGCACGGTTGATGCGGTGGCTGTGCAACCGGCTGTCGTGCAACGTGTCGCGGGTTCGATTCCCGCACGGAACAACAATTTGTGTGATCTACAAATTGTTGTTTCGGGTCTGGGTGTCATTGTGTGTGAACTTGTATGTTTGTAAATGCACCCACGATACAGGAGAGAATCCTAGTGTGGGGCAACGTTTTAAAGAAATAAAAAAAAAAAACAGAATACCTGACATTCGTCAATTACACAGACGCTAACTTAAAGATACAAGTACCTACATTTATATCTACCCTTTCGAGACAACAGGCGTTGTATTATTGTAACCTTTTGTTTGGTAATGTTTACTACTAAGCAAATAAAATATTCATGAGTGCCGCGGGGCGCGCGTAACTAAGCATTCCACAGACGCCGCACATTAACCTAACCCGACCAGGAAATCTCTTCAATTTATTATGAATCTTATAACCAAGAGTATAAAGTTGAAAATGAACTAAAGGTTTTAGCTAAATTAGGGTATCTTGACGTGCGTTTTGTATGAGATAGTCACGCGTCATTACATTTCCTTGCTCATCGTTCACCGGTCGCGTAAATCCATCATGGCCGCCCTTTGACATTTAACGTTATATTTTCACAGCTCTTATTGTTTCCGCTGCCAACGGATGCTGCTGTCTAAGAATAATAATATAATCCAGAAAATATAATAATTGTTCTTACATTACTTGCAATAAGATCGTAATTTCCGTATGTTGTGTTAAGCTGTTCATTCTGTTTCATTTGTGTTATGTGTGTATTACTTTCTCAATACTCAATGATGTGAAAAGAATAATGTTTTAAAAATATGACCAACTAGCTTTTACCCGCGAGTTTGCTCGCGTGTTCAATAGTATTTAATCTGTCAAACACCAAGCGGTCACCGGTGACCGCGACCTATTGTTCTTTAATTGTGTCTATAAAACCGGTACTCGACGAGTTAATCAGGATGTAAAGTATCCTATCACCTAAGTCAGCCCATACCCTGCTGCACCCTGCAGCCACAATCCGTTCAGTAGTTTCAATGTGATTGACGGGCAAACATCCAAACAATGAAACTTTCACATTAATTTATAATATTAGTGTGATTAACTAAAATCGCGGGTTACTCACGTGAATATAATTAGAAAAGCTCTACTAGTTTCGAACCACAGAGGGGTTCTTCTTCATGTTGTGCACACACACACACACACACACACACACACACACACACACACACACACAGCACAGAACTGGTAGAGCTTTTCTCAGTATATTCACGTGAGTAACCCGTGATATTAGTTAATTTAGTATGTCTCACGATAGTTATTATAAAAATATTGATGCGATGTTTATAATTCTTGGTCGACTCACCTACGTACAAAGGGAGCTTATTAAGTCTCTAATCTTGTATTTTATACTTTTTATACTATTATATAAAACTGAAGAGTATGTTTGTTTGTTTGAACGCACTAATAATTTTTTAGTAAGATTTCTCCACAAAGGTAATATGTATAACTATGTATCTAAATCAGACAGGCAAACCACCTATTACACGGGACTTGTTCCAACATTAGCGACCTATGAGGGTTACATTTCATATCTTGCACTTTACCTATTCTTTTAGGGGATTAGTGGACGTCACGTGGACGTCACCATGGTACATTTTCATGACACTTTAACATTAGGAACAATTCATAACTAAATAATTATAGAACACAATTATATTAAGTGTAGACCTTTTTCCCGATATTAATAAGGTCTACTCTACCATGTGGGACGCTAGTCTTGATGTATTACATACATTCATATATCTACTTATTTACTTACGTTTTATCACCACTTCTTAAAATTAAGAACAAATGTAACTTGACCTTTTGATCCAATGATTAGAGACAAGTAATCAAGTAGTAGGCACAGGCCTACAGAATTATAAATGAACCTGTTCGTCCTTTCTGTACCTACTGGTACAGATACATTAAACAAATATTAAATAGTGAAATAAAATAAATAGTGTTTTTTTCTGATGGGGGAATATCATCTATTGACTTCTTCCGACCGGGTGGGGCGATAGGTAGTGTCAGACTATTACTGACTAGAAACCACTCCGTTCCTACTCTTGCCCTACGAGCCGGAGTTCCGACAACCCGTGGAGTCCTCCGTTTTTTTTTAAGGGGGGAAAATCATCAAATGACCGCTCCGAATAAAAAAAAATATGTATATGCTGATTTTGGGCACATCGTGCAATAGTATTTCAAATTCTTACGATAATAATATAGAATACTGTCTGTCAGCATCATCGCTGTATTCTTCCTACGGGTATCGTAAAAGCCAACTAAAGGGTAATACGTATTCATTTCTAGGCAGCAACCAAAAACCTGAACCTTATTGCGATGTCCATCCCGACAAGCGTAGAGATATAGCAAACCTTTTTGTTTGTAGACTAAACCTATTCACGAGTTGTCCATCATGCTGTACTTATACAAATTGTATTATAACAAATAAATAGGGATCAAGTGTAACACCTTCTACAGGTCACTAAACTGTGCCGTGGGAATTGTATGTACTGTGGGGGACAGATCCGCCTGATCATTTTGAAATTTTAATTGCTTGAACTTGGCAAAACCATGATTGTCTAAAGTAGGTATTAGAAAAGCGGAAACGTCGCAGCTTAGAGACGCAACCCATGTAATCCCTTAGTCTGTGGTGCATTGGTGTTGTTTGGTTACCTGCGCCGGCGCCAGCCCCGCGCACCACTGCTTCATTCGTCAATTCAAGAGGCAGGGCGAGAGAGTGGATCTCATCAGGTGCTAGCAAATATTAACTTAGTGGTCAGGCGGATGCGCCCCCCACTGTACACATCCTATCATCCTTAGCTAAGGTCTTCCACAAGAGTTTACAATAATTAATATACACTTACGTAATGCGTATCATCCTCTTCATTGTAGGCTAACTTGACGATCCCGTACGAGCCCTGAAACATACGAGGTTATGTAACTTTACATACATACAGGGTGTCCCAAAATTTAATGATAATAAAGAACTGATGATGGGTCCTTTTTTGACATCCTACATAACGTTTAAAAGTCGTGTATATAAATCTGCTACGACGAGTGTCTAAAGAGAGTTACCACTTTTCCTACAGCTTTTTAATTGAAATACCTGCTAAATATTTTTTGTACTTTTTACTGAGTAGGTGGCTAACATAAAGAGTGGTTTAATAAGAGGGCCCATCACCTAGTCCAATTTTTTGTTGAGTTTTAGAACATTCTGTATACGCACAATCATACATACATACATACATATGTAGGTACTATGGTATATTTACTGAAACTCCTTGTTTCAGGAGTTTGCGAGTGTAAAGCTTTCAGCCGTAATTAGCGGTTGACTGAAGCTTAGGCCGAGGTCATTCACCTTTCTGTTGATCTTTGTTTTGTACAATTAATCTTGTTTTTATGTTTTTGTTTAAGTTCAGTAAGCGTGCGGGGAATTATGCCAGTGTTGTTTTTCTTTTTCATAGGTATAGAGTAGACAGAGCTATGTAAGCTTACTATTTTCATAGTATTATAATACTTGTTGACAGAAACTCGTGACGTGTTGTAGTGGCCCAGAGGTTTAAGACGCCCGCTTCTTATGCATGAGAGTGCAGGTTCGAAACCTACCAACGGCAAGTACCAATGTGACTTTTTCCGAGTTATATGTACTTTCTAAGATTATTTAGACACCACTAACAATCGGTGAAGGAAAAACATCGTGAGGAAACCTGGGCTTAGAATTTCTAATTATAAGTTTGAAATCACCAACCCGCATCGAGCAAGCGTGGTGATTAATGCTCAAACATTCTCCGTGTGAGAAGAGGTTTTGCTCAGCAGTGGGCATTTATAGGCTGTTGATGATGTCAGAAACTACACAGCTAAGGGCGCTACTGTCCACGTTACACCATTTGACAAATACATGCATCCTTCAAAAAAATAACACCTACCACGACAAAGCTTCAACTCTTCAATAACCTAATTACAACTAATCCAAGACAAAGTATCTCACACACCTGTCCGATAGGCTCCAGCAGTCTATACTGGTTGAGCTGCACGTATCCCGAGGCCTGTGCCAGCGACACGCGGCGTGACTCGCGAGGCGCGCGGCGAGGCCGCGGGGAGCCCTGCCCGCTGCACTCCGCCGACTTTGCAGCGTGCGACCGCAACAAAGTTGACCGGTCGCCTGTTGCTGGGTATGTAGACAGCCTAAGGAGGAATAGTCATGTGTGAGTTGTGTTGTATGATTGAGCTGTTTTAAAATAAATAATTTCACTACTTAAAAGATAGTAATTTAATCAAATAATTAATTAGAATCTGTATCACGTCAATAATGAAGTGTTCAATATTAGTTTATTGTGAGGACGTTTTGTTTAATGGAAAATCTGGTAATTTGTATCGTAGACACTTGAAATTACAACTCTATAAAGATAACATACGGAACGGAAAGGAATTTCGTAGGTAATGCAAAAGGTTAGCGCAAATTTTACAGAAACTAGACTACCATTATACGTATTATGGAGAATCAGACGCTAATAGAACACGACACGCATCGACACTCCATACAGTCTGATACACCGAGTGTGTGAGTCTGTGGTCGCGGCCTGCACGGGACAACGCGCACCGCGACTTAATGTACTTGACACTTGTGATACTTACTTACTTTGATTCAAGGAATTTTATTATTTTATACACTTTGTAATATAGTAAACTATATACATATAATAATTATTATTATCTATATGACTATTATATTTAGATACTTATTGTACAATGTACGTAACATATTTGATAACAACTGCAGGTACATCTGGTACATATGTATATCTACTTAACTATTGAATGACAAAAAACAAATTCTAATAAATTGGGCATTAAATTAACTAAACGAGGAAGAACCCCTCTGTGGTTCGAAACTAGTAGAGCTTTTCTCAATATATTCACGTGAGTAACCCTCGATTTTTAGTTAATTTAATATGTATCACGATGGTTATTATAAAAAATTGGGTATTTAAATCTATTTGTTTTTCGTTCTCAGCTATGCACAGGTGACCCTGGTTATCATATAGATCACGAAATCCCAACAAAAGTTACCTGCACAGTTTTTGCATTTTATTACGATTGCTAACTTAATTTATTTGTCAAACAAAATTACCATAAAACTGCAGTAAACACGCAACAAAAACTGAAACAGCTTAATTTCAAAATTGGTATTTGAATATTGTAAAGTCATGTCGAATGTCATCGGTAAGAACATGCAATAATTTTTTGTACGCCGTACAAAAAGTCTTAATAATTGATGTAAATTATGACAAATGTCTGACAGTTTTTGTAAAGATGACTGGACATTTTGTTAATTCTCGTAAATATATTTAATAACATGAGTTTAAAACTGTCAACAATACAGGTAGGTAAATAGAATAATTATTATACGTCGTATAATTTGCTAACTCATTATTTCGGACAGTCGTTCACTTTAATGCATGTCCTTTTTTCACAAACTTTTCCTAAATTTTAAGAAACCTCTAAACTAAGATAGGTTAGGTAAGGACATTTAACGTCATTTTTTAAGTACTAGTAAGGGTTAGTTTAGGTGCTACGTCATACGAAGTAGTTTTTAGGGGGTGGTTAGTCAAAACAGCTATAAGTTACTCAGTACACACCGTGAAATCTATTTCTTTTTTGTATCGAAGTAAAATAGGTCTGTCTTAGTAATGCAATAGTTTTAAAAGAAATAAAATGTTTGAAATAAAAAATTAATGGTGAATCACTGCGAAAAGCAAGTTTCGAAAGCCCATACGAACTCATAGTACACAAAATATCTCTCCATGTAATTATCAAAGAGGTATATCTCGTTGGGTGGCACGTGCAATGCGAATAATGCCTAGAAATTTACATCTAGTGTTTCATGAGCGTATTTAGTTGAAACATTTTTTAAACTATAAAAATGATAGGTTTTTTGGTTTTAATTTATACATCGAAAATACTCCTAATGATAAGTTATTTTGCCGCGGGACGAAAACGAAATAGAATTAACGGTGTACGTAGACAAGTGGATAAGCATAAACTAACAAAATGGAACACTTATTATTAAATATACTTTTGTACATTATCCACGAGAATAAGTTTCAAAATCTTCAATGTTCGTACCTATAAATAGAAAAGCCTTGCTATTAGAAGAGATTTGGCCCAAATCAGGGATGGACAAATATGGCGGTTGATAAGTTTGCTCAGGATTACTCTGGATAATAACCTTACTTCGTATGTTTTAGGCTTATAGGCTCAACGTGTCGTACCCTTTTTCCTCCATAGGCTAAGAATTAACCTCGCTATACACCGACACAGATTGCGGAAGATCCCATGTTATTTCCGTAAAAGTTTAGCACGGACCTTGCTTTACTTTTCCTTTGCTTTTTTTAATATTACAATCCCAACGTGGCTATTACTTTCGTGCTTTTCTCCGTTGTGCCAGAGTTCAGCGTTATTTTCTTTCTTTATTAATTTAGAAAAATAAAAGTTATACAGGATTCTGGTGTTTAAAAGTAGGCAGATTATGAACAACATTATCTTCTTTTAGACACTAATTAAACTATGTGTCTTATAACAATTGCATTTACGTCAGAATATCGACGCCATCTCAGTCATTTTACAAAGACAAATGTGAGAGAGCCATGCTTCGGAACGAATGGGCCGGCTCGATTGGAGTGATACCACAGCCGAGCAGAAAACCGACGTGAAGCAACGCTTGCGTTGTGTTTCGTCGTGTGAGTGAAGTTACCGGAGGCCCAATTACCCTCCCCTTCCTTAATCTCCCCAATCCTTGAATCCCTAACGATTCTCAAACTCCTAATCTCCAAAAAGCTGGTAACGCACTTGTAACGCTTTTGGTGGTCCAGGTGTCGCCGTCTGCTCGTTTACCGGCTTTGCCATAAAAAAGACTTTGTAGTGACACAATTATACATAAGCGCGACCTAAAATTGAGTGGCGTTTGAGTCATAGTATAAAGAACACAGTAGGTTATCTAAGGCCGCCCGCCGAGTTATTAGCCTACTCTTGCGTTGATCCCCAGGGTTGTCACTTTTACTTTTAGTTAATATTTTCGAACAAGCAGCACTTGATCTAAATTTATGAAATGAAAAGCATATTATGTTTGAATATTTTATCAATTTATAAATTTAATAAAAATAAAAAGCTTATAAAAAGATTATTAACTTCTTAAAATAAACTTTAGCTCTATACATAGTATTCAGAAAGTAAATTTTGGAATACATTTATATGGAAAAATGCGACACGGCCACGCTCTTAACAAATCAGATAAACTGTGAAATAAACAATACAATACCACATTTTCTTATAATATTTAAGTATAGTAGGTAATTACATTTCTGGTTGAGTAGGAACTATGAAGAATGATAAGAGTAAGAATAAGTAAGTAGGTATCTCATCATCAAGTACCTACAAATTATATTATGCTAGAAAAAGTGACTAGCTTACCTTTCCTGTTCAATAGGTAATCTGAACAGAGACAGTTCTGGAATCGATTAATTATTAAGACACCCAAACACACAGCAATACGTTCTTCTACGGTTATCAGACATTTTTTATTTCATTTAACAGTGCCGAAAAGTGATGCGAACGCGAACCTCGTGCAGTGTTAGCCCTGCCTGGCGCACTGAGAAACGGGTCGAGATTTTGTTAAAGTGTGCGTGCGTCGACGCATAGATACTATGGCGCACACATATAAGCCGCGCGCGGAGCATTTGTATGAAGATAACCTACTTTGTTCTTTATACTATGTTTGAGTATTCGGATAATAATCTCTGTAGTGCAAGTATCAAGACTGGTTGCGTTACCTGTCTCCGTCTGGAGTCTGCCACCTGGTCCTCTCATGTTCTCTGTTGCCACCGTTAGACACGTCCACTGCTGAGTGCCTGCAAAGAAACAACACAATGTTAGATGGCAGTGCTGTCAATTGGGTACTTTCTTTAATCAAAAATAAACTATAATTATAGACTGTTCAGTACAATAAATTATTAAATAAATCGACTTCCATTAATTGGTTTTATGACTAACTTAATTTTAATATTTGTTCCAGCAATTTTTTAGGAATTATGTATGCGGTTTGACAAAAAAAACGTGACGTCACAATACACAATTTCGTACAAAATTCATAGAAAACTGCCGTTTTTGACAGTTCGAAAAACGTATTTTTTGGACAATTTCATCATAATACAATTTCAATTTTTTGAAAATTCCACTAGGTTAAAAAACATAATGTAGGTATTTCAGTGTTTTATTGGTTGATTGATAAAACAAGTAACAAAAATTAGTATCTATTATTTTACAGCTTGGCTCCTATTGCTATTGAACTAGATATTTATGAGGAACGAATATACAACTAGACAAATTTTATTATGATATTGTTTATCACCTCGGAGAGATCTACACGCACATGGGCTTCTTGTATGTACCTGTATTCTTGTGGTGTGTCGTGGTGTAATAAATGGTTTTTTTTCTTTCTTTCTTACACGCTTTGTGTAGACATTTATTAAATTTCAAAAATCCATTTCAACTCGAATGCAGCAATTGATTAAACTTGAAACACTTCGTAATGTATACCATAACCTACTTTCTTATCGACATGGAAACAATATTTTCACAAAAGGGAAAGAAAATTGAGACGATTTCCGTTCGACATCACCACAGAGTGACGTCACAACATCCTAATATTACCCGACACGAGTGAATTAGATTCACTTACACGCTGCTTCTTTACATGGCCACACATATGCATAACCAGTATAAATTGACCCTTGTTTCTGCGGAAAGGTCGTACAATGCGAGACCATGATAAATTGGTTTTGTATAGCTTCATTTGCAGCCAACTGTACAAGGAGGGCTAGGCAGGAGTGCGTGACACGCATACATCAACATACGTACGGAAGGAGCTGGGATATATTTAGTAAAAGTTGAGAAACAATATTGTGGTAATTATACAATGACATGTATATTGTCTTTAGTGGGTGAGATTTTGAATGGAAATTCTAAGTGGTTCATTGAAGTCTTGTTATGTTGATGCTTGTTCAAGTTATTCATAATTATTCTGTATTGTTAGGGCAGTAAAAAATGCCATAGATAATTATCTGCTTTGAGTGTTGCTGCAAAGTCCTAAACTTCAGTTCTCAAACTTGTAAAAAGGTATGATGGGGTTGCCATATCAAAGATAAAAAACGATAAGTAAAAACAGATTAAAAATATAGTTTCCAAGAACAATAATTTAATTTAGATACTTAATAAGTTGCCTGCTGACTGTCTCGTCGGCCGAGTGGTCGCAAGTGCGACTGCCGGGCAAGGGGTCTCGGGTTCGATTACCGGGTCGGGCAAAGTATTACTGGGTTTTAAAAAAAATCTCAGTAGTAGCACGGAGTCTGGAATTGTGCCCGGTATATGGCAATAGGCTCACCCCCTATTACATGGGACTCGTAACATAAATAGTGAAAAGTGGGTGTTACATTGTACAGTGGCATAATGTGCACCTACCTACACCTTCGGGGATAAAAGGCGTGATGTTATGTTATGTACTTAATAAGTTTTATACGATTATTATGTTGGATTCAAATGCTTTGGTTTTAATTTAGACATGTTGTAACACTCAGCTGTAACATGTCCCAAGCAGTGTGTAAACTAACCAAACAAACAAACTGACTAGAAGTGACTACATCTATATTTCAATACAACCTCAAATATTAGGGAGGCTCCTTTTTATTTCAGTTCGCCCACGTCCGCCTGAAATTGATACCAACAGCACGTAGGCGGGGATTTAGTTACATGTTCCTTAGAGGGTAAGTAGAGAGCTCAGTGGTATCGCAAATAACTATATAATTTCATATTACTGAAGCTTTTGCCCGCAGAGAATGTTGTTTCTTTTCAGTTTATATGAAAATTTTAGAGAAATTATTTTTAGTGTTGTGGCGACACATGTCACAAGTCAACGGATGACGTCATAAAAATTCTACATCGCACATGCAAAGTTTACAAGCGAATAAACACGGATAGAAAAATCCCAAGGAACAACTGTTGGGCAGAAAGCCCGCCAGGCACGATCACCTCG